CATGAAATACCACCGCGGCGCATTCAGCCCAAGGCGCCACTATCAAGCCAACGCGAAATCCGACCGCAGTTGTTCGTTCAGTTCGCCTGACAAACAAATCAAGAACCCTTCCTCGTTTCTAGAATACTCCATGCCATGTAGTTGTGTTTCCAGGATGCTCATAGTGTCAACGCTAGCGCTCCGCATGTGACAGCATAGCTCGTGGACCTTTACTTGTGACTTCCCCCAGGGCCCTTCCACATTCCACTGGCCAGCCTGGGTCGTAGAAGCAGGACGGCACGTTGCACGCGGCCTCCCCCGTGAGCATTGCGGTCGCGATGTCGACGACGCCGATTTCGGAGAAGTCGTGATAGCTCTGCCCACGCCAGGCTGAACCGAATGAAGATGTAGCGAATGAGCATCGTCAGTCTCCTCATTCATGGCACAGGTGCTGGAAAATAGCTCGGGTGAGGCGGATGACCTCGGTGAGACGATGCTGTCCTGGAGCCGCAAGTCAGATGCGGTAGCTTCACCCAGATCAGTCGTGCGCGTCTCCATTGGAACGTCTCCGAGACAAGAAAATTGTGCATGTACGGTCTCCATGCCTGCTTTCATCACACCCAGTCCATTATTAACGGCTCTGGTGCCTACTCGGACCACTCCTGACACCGCCAGTATGTCCTACTGATCTTTGGGCCTCCCTTTCGGATGCCTTTGTCATACCTTTCTGGGCTCTGGTAATCTAGCAGTCGCAACTGTCTGAAAGAACTTTTACTTGTGGGTGCACCTGTAGCTCTCCCCAAGTCTTCCACTTATCCTCCCAACTCTTTTGTATCGTAGTGCCGTCCACGGACACCGTCACCGCGAGCTCCCCGCCCACCCAGACTTCGTAGGGAAGACTCTCTGATACTTTGATGGTGCACAGATTCTGCCAATCGTCCTTCAATAAGTATTTGATCCCAAAGCAATAATTTCGTGCAGCACGCTCCGTCGGCGGACGGTCCGGCGATGCCCACACGGTTCTACAATGCCTTTGCATGTTCGCTGTCTTGATCAATGTGACGGCGGTGCCCCAGTCAAGCGTATTTGCGATTTCCGCGAACAGCACCGTAGTGGAATCCCCTTTCACGTACATGTTGGTTGGGACGGGGCCAGAAGTAGTGGATAGTTGCTCCCGGAGCCAGGCTGCTGCTGTGTTGAACAGGTTGAAGCCCTCCAAATTACCGAACAGTCCTGTGATAGCGCGTTTCCCATCGCCGTCGTGGTGTGCACGTGCGTCCCGGTGACCTGGAGAGAACCGCTGTTTCAAAGATTCCACTCCTTCTTCTTCTAATTGCTGTAGTTCGGACTGCCCAGCTGTGTCCAGAGATGCTTCCGATGTCCAGGCAAATGCTGGCCGACATGTATACTGTGATTCTAGTAGCCCCATGCGCGATTGGTAAGCTCGTCGACCGTGTTTCGTAAAGGCGCCACAGCGTCGTTGAGATCTGGATGAAAGACGCCATGCTGTTTAATCGCAGCTATGTCGCGTTTGATAGGCTCCAGCTCGTTCTTAATCAGCTTGCCGATGACGTCCAGAATGTGAGGTGAGTTAGAGGCAGTTGCCATGTCCTTCTCTTTCACAATCTCGTTGTCGCTCATCTCGTCGAGCGGGCTCGTCGGAGTACGCTTTGCCAACTTCCGTTCTGGAGGTGCGATCAGAGATTCATCTGCCGTCCCCACTGGTTGGAGGGTGTCCTTGAACAGTTGCCTGACAGGTGTACCTGGGGCGCGCGTCGTGCCAGCACCAGAGGAAGAAGACATCGATCAGCTATCGAAGTGATGGGAAGAGGGCGTCGAGTATCGAAGTGTTGGGACGTAGGGCTGGAAAAGTCACCCTAAAACGGGGCGGATTTCAGGGTGACCCTCTGGGAAGCGCGAGAGCCTTGAGGCTTGAGCCTCGAGCCTTGAGCAGGACCAAGTCCTGGTCCTAAATCGTTATTCGACGGTCCCTGGCCTCGGCGAGGGCCCCTGCAGGCCAAACATTGGCCCAAACCCACCCGTCACGATTTCTTCCCAAAGATCCCATGTCCTGGACCCCCTCGGGTAATGAAAAAATCATGACGGGAGGTGTTTCAAAATTTTCAGCCTCTGGAGGCCCTTACTGGCCCTCGGGACCGTCATACATCGACTCAGGATGGAACAAACCGGCCCATGGGAAGGGGTCGAGACCTCTGAGGGTCGACGCTGTGACAAAAATCATGACGTCGGGGGTCTAAGGTTTTCGTTTTCTATTCGAGGTCCCCGGAAATCCCGACCCTTTCCCAGGGGCTGGTTGTCCCTCTCGAGATCTTCTTTTGGACGGTCCCATGGGGCCTGGCGAGGGCACCACCTGGAGGCCAACAATGGCCCAAATCCCCCCGTCGCGATTTCTTCCCAAAGATCCCACGTGCTTGTTTTCAGTACGCGGTCCCCGAAGTCCAGGAGAGCCCAGAATCGAATCGACAAGTCGGATCGGCGATCGACATGAGTCGGATCGGCGGAAATCGGCAGCCATGTCGGGAGAAGCCGAATCTGTAGACATCGGCAGGCCAATGGGCCTCCACTGAGAAATCGGAGCCCGAATCGGAATCCCAAACCGAATCGGATCGGAACTGGAAGCGCCAACGAAATCGAATCGGATCGAATCGGAGGAATCGAAATGAGCCCTGGAAGCCCCGACCCGCTCCCCTGGGGCCCATGGTCCCTCCCGAGCTCTTCTCCTGGACGGTCCCAGGGGGGGCCTGGCGAGGGGGCACCGCCTGCGGAGGCGGAAAGCTGTGCACAGAATTCTCCGCACGGGACCAAGCTGGATAAAGCCAGATGCTAGCCCCGATTGAGCCGGCGATCGACCGCGAAAATGCCAGCGCCGATACAGAAAGTAGCCTCCCGAGAGTTGCATCCCAATTCCCTCCCCTTCTTCGAGACACGGGCCTCCGACCCCTCGGCCACTTTCCCAGCACCCGTTCTTCATCCTGAGCAACTTCTTGACAGTCCCGAGGCCCACCAAGGGCCCCGAGAGGCCGAAAACTGTGAGAAACCTCCGTCTCGATTTGATCGAGACGCTGGACGTCTGGGTCCCTCGCCTGCACCAGGGGGGCCGCCAGCACCACGGCGGCCGCGACCGCACTGGGCAGCGGCGCGGCGCCCGCCGCGCCCGCGGCGAGGCCGCCCGGGAGGCCTCCAGCGGCAGCGGCGGCGCCCGCGCGTGGCGGCTCGGCGGCCCTGGGAGCTGCGGGGGGGCTGGCCGGGCGACGTCGGCGGACCACCCCACCCAGGCCTCCAACCAACGAACGAACGAACCCTGAGATCCTGGCGTCGCAGATTTGTCGAGCCGAGCGTTTTCCAACACTTTCGGGCCCCCATGTGGGGGCCCAGACCGGGCCTCGGGACAGTCACAAACGGACTCAGGATGGAAAGCGGATGGCATGATGTCCTTGGGAACCAGTTGGTGGCTTTGCAGGCGCTGGTTGCTGAGTTTACGACCCCTCTGAGCCTTGAGTGCGAGGTGCTGGCGTGCACTTCTTGTCGCAGCTGGGAAGGGTGCGGACAAGGAGGCCCGGGGGGAGGGGGCCACAGCTGGCGCCCCCCGAGCTGGCGGGCGCCGGGCCGGCTGCCGCGCCCGGCGCGCGAGGCGCGAGCGGGCGAGGCGCGGTCCCCAGACATCCGGCGTCTCGAAAGCATCGGGACAGAGGGCTCTCGTCGTCTTCGGCACCTCGGGGCCCCTGGCTGGGAGCTCGCCCAGAAGAGACCTTCCACAAGAAGCCCAACCCTGAAACGCTGGGGTGTCCATTGATTTGTTGTACGGGAGCGTCACGCTTTGCCATCGCAAAACCATCGAAACCATCGAAGCCCAGGGCACCCTGGAGGGAAGCAGGGTGTTTCTTGGCAAGGGCTTGCACTGCGAGGGACAGGTCGGGCAGGGCCAGCGGGTCGGATGGGCGGGACGAGTCGGTCGGGCGGGGCAGTAAAGTATGACGCGTCAACTGGTTGTCACGCGCGTGCCCCTACAGGCGGGTCGGGTCGGACGGGCGGATCGGGTCGGGTGATAACGGCCGTCGAAAAATGACTCGGATGAAAAACTGGTCCCGGGGATATCCCTCAAATCTGGCGTTGAAAAACTGCAACAGCAGGAAAAATCACGACCAGAGCCCTAGACGTCCATGTCCTCAGACCCCCGACATCGTACTTTTGTTCACAGCGTCGCTCCCCAGTCTGGACACCTTCCCTCGGGCCGGCTTTTCGTCCTGAGTCGTTTTTTGGCGGTCCCGAGGCCCAGCTTGGGCCCCCGGAGACCGAAAATTAGGAAAAAACCTCCCGTCGTGATTTCGTCACAACGCAACTGGGATAATGGGCGCTTGCGAGGCGGGGACTTATCCATATCCACCACCTGGGAACCGACGTCCTGGTGCCACAGGGGGCGGTGGAGATGGATATCTTTTGGCCCCTGGCGGCCTGAATATGTCCATATCCACCGCCTGCCCAGGTCCCCGAAAATTGATCCTCCACGCGGTGGTCATGTTGTATGGACTCCCGCCTCGGAGCGCTGGGGTTGCTAAGGGGATGGGGGGGTTATCAGTGGATGCTCAAGGGGTTATACCTGGCCTAACCTAGCTCATCAGTGGGTTACGAATGTCCCAAGTGGCTTGGGGGGATAGGGATCCAGGCCAAGTGGGCTCCGCCCACATAGCGGAGTGGTCGAATCCCCTTATGCCAATTGGGGCATGCCGAACCCACTTCGAGGCTAGGTCAGGCGAGGTGTAACCCTTTTTGGCGTCCGCTGGTAGCCCCACTGCGCCCTCAGCAACCCGCGCGCCCATCCCCAGACCCCCGACGTCATGATTGTTTCATAACGTCGACCCTCCCAAGTCTCGACCCATTCCCCTGGACCGATTTTTCATCCTGAATCGTTTTTTGACGGTCACGAGGGCCGGTCTGGGCCTCCAGAAGCCCAAAGTTAGGAAAACCCTCCCGTCGTGATTTTTTCATTGCCAGAGAGGATCTGGGTCGAGAATCGAGGCGCCCAATGTCCGGGGCGCGCGAGGCGTCTCCGCGGCCGGTGGGCCCGCCACGGCCCAGCTGGCCTGGGCAGGCGCGCCTGCCCGGCCCGACACGGGGGGCGCCTCCGCCAGGGCCCCCGCCTGGCTGGGAGGGCGCGAGCCTGCAGGGGAGGACGATCGACACATCTCGGACCCCACTGGGAGGGGCGCGGGGGTGGCTAAGGGGATGTAGGGGGGTTAGCAGTGGACGCCAAAGGGCTTATGCCTGGCCTAACCTAGCTGATCAGTGGGTTGCTAGATGTCCCAAGTGGCTTGGGGGGGATAGCGATCCAGGCCAAGTGGGCTTCGCCCACTTAGCGAAGTTGTCTAATCCCCCGATGCCAATTGGGGCATGCCGAACCTACTGATAAGCTAGGTTAGGCCAGATATAACTTCCTTGGCATCCACCAATCACCCCCCTATCCCCTTAGCACCCCCAGCACCCATCCCAGCAGATCCTGGGAGCCTGCCCGGAACTCCTCGCGCTGTGTGAAACAAATCGCGACGGGAGGTTTCTCGCCATCTTCGGCCTCCAGGGGCCCTCGCCGAGCCTCAGGACCGTCCAAAAACGACTCGGAATGGAACACTGGTCCCGGGGAAGGGGTCCAGACCTCTGGGGGTCACGTCATGGAAAAATCACGACGCCGGAGGTCTGGGTATCCCAGACCCCAGATCCTGAGAGCCTGGGGCACCAATGTTTTCGAGCTGGGCGTTCTCGCCCCGTTTCGGGCCCGGGGATCCCTCGGGGATCGATATCCAGCTCGGAGTATGGCGCAGAAAGGTGGAACTTGGGGCTCCGGTCTGGATGTTTACCATGCTTTTGTCCATGCGACGTTGGACCTCTGTGAAATCACGCTGGCAGGTTGTTCTGCCCCAGACTGGGCCTGGCGAGCGATGAACAAAGGACTCGGGGTGATAATCTGGTCCTGGAGAAGGGGTCCTGCTGGGATGGGCGCGGGTGTTGCTAAGGGGATCGGAGGGTTACCAGTGGACGCCAACGTGGGTTATACCTGGCCCGACCTAGCTCATCAGTGGGTTGCTAATACCCCAAGTGGCTTAGGGGGGCTCAGACAATTCCGCAAAGTGGGGGGAACCCACCTAGCGACCCCCGCGCCCATCCCAGTGGGGGCCACGTTGTGACCAGAAACACGACGTCGGACTTCGAGTGGCGGGGGGGGGGACTGGCCAACGGGGGGGGACAATCTCAGGATGGAAAATAAACGCCTGCACAAACAAACCTAGATTCCCAATGAAATATGGGACAATGCTGGGATGTGCGTGGGGGGTGCTAAAGGGATAGGGGTGATCAGTGAACGCCAAAGTAGGTATACCTGGCCCAACCTAGCTCACAAGTGGGCTACACATGTTCCACGTGGCTCACGGGGATGAGACGGCTCCGCTACGCGGGCGGAGCCCACTTAGCCCGGATCGATCTCCCTACGAGCCACCTGGGGCATTAGCAACCCACTGATAAGCTAAGTTGGGCCAGGTATAGCCTCTTTGGCGTCCACTGATACCCCCCCTGTCCCCTTAGCAACACCCGCTCCCATCCCAGCGGTGAAAGGGGTCCTGGGGGTCCACGCTGTGAACAACAACGCTACGTCGGAGTTCTGGGGGCGGGGGAGGGGTGACATGCCCAGGGCGGGACCGCCTCAGACTGGACAGAAAAGGGCACCTACACCCATACTGCCGATTTCCCCAAACAGGTGCGACAGCATGGGCCACGGAAAGGAACATGAAAACCCAGATAATACTTTGCAATATTGGAAATCCTGGAACGTGTAGTTATTTCCTCACATCCAATATGTTATTGTATTTTCTCTGGACACTCTGCGCGCAAGAACCTCACTTCCCTCCCACTTTCCGCCTCGCTCACGCATTCACCCCGTCATCGGTCATCATCACCACCTGCCATCATCATCAGCACCATCATCATCACACTCAGTCACTCACCGTCGATCGCCATCACCATGGGCCATCGATCATCAGCATCATCATCATCATCATCATCATCATCGTCATCACCACCACCACCACCGCCATCATCATCATACTCAGTCGCACATCGCACACACACACACTCTCTCTCTCTCATCATTCGGCCTCCTCCTCCTCCTCACGGGTCATCCTCATCCGTGTAACTTTCGTCAGTTTAGGGCTCCCGAGGCCTGAATATGGAAGTATCAGGCGGGGAGCCCCGTCTGTCAGTGAACTGTGAGGAGTGCTCAGGCGGGAGCCCCCTCCCTATGCGCTCTTCAGAGAGCGATTCGCCCGACCCATAAGGTGAGGGGGAAGAGGAGGAACAGGAGGTGGGGACGACGACGGCGGCCGGGCGCAGGGGGAAACCCTTGCGTCCGGGTCAGGGGTGGTAACCGCCTGAGCGCGGCTGTGACTAGCTCGGTGCCTGCGGGGTTGTCCCAACGGCCTGGCCCGCGCGGTTGTCCCAACGGCCGCGCGACGCGGCCATTCGAGAATGCGCCCGCGCTGGCCGAGGCGGCGACGGCGTCGAGGAAAATCGACGCGCGCGCTATTGCAATAGACGGGAGAGGAGGCGGTGGGTTACGAAACAGACAGCAGGAGGGCGAGGCAAGGGCAACGCGGGGAGCGGGTGAGGTCCCTGCGCCAGGGCGAGAATGAGAATGACGCAGAGAAGACAATAAGGGCGCCTCACTAACCGCGAGGACGACAGTGAAGGTCATTTCCAGATTAGCCGAAAGGATTTCCATGTGGGGTCTTTCCGTCGGAATAACTTTTGGTGTCTCCCAGGCCTACTGCCCCTCGGGGCCCGGGGCCCGCCCAGGGACGCGCGTGGCTTTGCAGAATTGCGGGGGGGCTCCCGCCGCTGTTCTGTCAGCGATGCGTCGCCGAGATTTCAGGTTGGCCCTGAGCCAGGCCCTCTCGCGTCGTAGTAAAACTCGAGACGGGAGGTTGTTCCATATTTGGGCTTCTGGGGACCCTCATCAAACGTTTCAGTATGAAAAACCCGTTCCGGCGAAGATGTCCAGACCTCCGGGGGTCGACGTTGTGAAAAAATCCAGGGGTCTGGGAGCCAGGCCCCCCCGAAATTCCTCACGGCGGCGAGCGAGGGGGGGAAGTGAGAAGGAGGCCTTTTCAGAAGGCGGCGGGGCTTCCCAGAGGCCCCCGCGCCCTCCTGAGGAGTGCTCGGCGTCTTCGGGGAAGGCCCAGAAAACTTCTCAGAAGGCGGGGGGAACTCCCGAGTCCTCGAGGCCCGCTCTCTCTCACTTCCCCCGGGGCGCGCTGCCGTTAGACATTCAACGCCGTGACTCTTGCCACACGGGGCCCCCTCTTCGTCCTGAGTCGTTCTTGGACGGCCCCGAGGCCAGGCGAAGGTCCCCGGAAGCCGAAAACGGTCCAAAACCGCGCGGGCACCCTCTCCAATTTTTGGGCGGAGCGCCAGGGCTCTTGGCCAGATTTTCGTTCGCATCGAGCGGGGGTGGGTGTTCCATTGCCCCCCAGGAGCCAGGGTACAACGGGGCCGGCCTGGCGCCCGTGGGCGGCGCGGGGAAGGCCGGTGCCTCCCGCCGGAAGGTGTCCACCAGCGGGCTGTGGGAGTGCGAGATGACGAGGCCCGTCTCGCGGCAGGCCGTCGAGAGTGGCGTGCGGGAGCCCTGGCAAGGCTTCCCGCCGCCCCTCTGGAGAGGAGGCGCAAGTATCCATTGGATCAGGTTGGCAGGGGCGCGGGGGTGGCTAAGGGGACCGGGGGGTTATCAGTGGACGCCAACGTGGGTTATACCTGGCCTAACCTAGCTTATTGGTTGACTGCCAATGTCCCAAGTGGCTTGGGGGGGATCGCCATCCAGGCTAGGTGTGCTCCGCCCACTTGGCGGAGTTGTCTGATCCTCCTAAGCCTGGGCATATACAATCCACTCATCAGCTAGGTTGGGCCAGGTGTAAGCCATTTGGCGTCCACTGATACCCCCCTATCCCCTTAGCAGCCCCTGCGCCCATCTCAGTACCTCTACCCTTCCCTCGTTTTCCCCTGTTTGGGCCTCCTGGGAGGCCCTTGTCGCCACCGCTGGGTTCGCCTCGAAATCTTGGTCAGAAAGCACCCTCGGAGAGGTCCGGAGAGTAGCGGTATAGGTACCTTTCGGTTTCCCCACCTCTGGTACCCTCGGCTGAAGGTCGCCAGGGTCACCTTGCCGCACGACCAGAGGGACGCTTTCGTTCTCTTGTCACCAACGGGCCTTTTGCTGCAGTTCTGCTGGATCAGCCACACGTTCAGCACAGTCATGTCTGCGAGCTCGTGGGTGTGGCTTATCGCCTTCGTCAGCCACTTGTGGGCCATCTGGTGCGTCGTGGGATCCAGCCAGCTCTCCCGATCCCACCTGTCGAGCATCTCCTGGACCAAGAGGAGAGACCCAGGAGTGCTTCGCAGAAGCAGCACCGCGGGGTTGAACGAGCAGCCATACTCCTTGCAGCCTGGGCCTGCGCAGTCACACGTTCCGATGACCTCGGCCGTGGTGAGCTCGCCCAGGCTCAGGTAGTGGGGCCACAGATCTCCCAGGATGAGCGCATCGCTGTCGAAATGCAGGACGTGCTCGCCCGCGCGCAGCCTCTGCTCAAGCACGACCCATATCATCTTCGAGAGCTCGAACACCCAGGGGCCAATCCCATCCTCCTCCTCCTCCTCCTCCTCCTCCTCCTCCCACTTCTTCCTCCTCCTCCTCCTCCTCCTCCTTCTCCTACTCCTCCTTCTCCTCCTCCTCCTCATCCTCGATCGGCGGCCTCCCGGGCTGTCGCCGGAAGACCGCCGATCGAACGCCGAATTCAGCCTGGAATCACGGAGCATGTCGAGCGGGTCCGAGGCAAGCCTCACATCTCTCGAGGATCCCGACCGCCCCACCAGCCTCCTGCGTGCTCAAGCTTTCGACGTGTACTGGTACAGATTCTGCGGCCACAGCCGACGCCCCCGCGCAGGACTTCTCGGCGCACGACCGAGCTCCCCGCGTCCGGCGGGCCCGAGCCCCCGCCCGGCCGGCTCCCTGCCCATGCGCACCTGGTACTCAGGGATGGACATGTCCTGCACCTGGGAGGCCTCCTCTCCCGATCCAGGCTGGTCTGCCACTCGACCTCGATCCAGGCCCCTGCAGGCTCGACTCAGCCCCAGGGGCGTGGAGGAGAACCCTGTGGGCCAAAGGTCCGATCGATCGCCTCCAGCGCTCGGCCGTTCGCGTCGAAAGGTTGGTCGACCATCGGCCTAAGATCCTGTACTTGCACGGTTTCCCCCAGGGCCGTAGGCGACCCGAGGAGGAGAAGGAGGAGGAGGAGGAGGAGGTGGAGGAGGAGGAGGGGAAGGTAGAGGAGGGGGAGGGGAAGGATGAGATGGAGGAGGAGGAGGAGGAGAGAGAGGAGGAGGAGGAGGAGGAGGAGGAGGAGGAGGAGGAGGAGGAGGGAGGAGGAGGAGGAGGAGGAAGAGGAGGGCGAGGAGGAGGAGAGGAGGAGGAGGAGGAGGAGGAGAGGAGGAGGAGGAGGAGGAGGAGGAGGAGGAGGAGGAGGAGGAGGAGGAGGAGGAGGAGGAGGAGGAGCAGGAGGGGAAGGAGGAGGAGGAGGATCAAGTCGCGCGCAGCCGCTGCCCGGCCGCCTCCCTCCTCACCTGCTCTTCCCCTTTTCATTCCGCACCTTCCTCCCGCCCCTCACGCAATTGCCCCTGGCGCTTGGGCAGCGCCGCAGCCGGCGGCGGTCGCCGCACTGGGGATGGAGAGCGACGTGAACGTAGAGGAGGAGGAGGAGGAGGTCCAGATGCAGGAGGGGGGCGAAGCGGCGGCGGCCGCGCCTTCTGGAGCAGCCCAATTTGGCGGCGCGCCCGGCGCCGCTGCTGCCCAGGGGAGCGCCGCAGGCGCTGCTGCCGCCGCTGCCGCGCCTGGGGCTGCTGCTGCGCCGCCTGCGCCGCCCGCGCCACCGCCTGTCGCTGCCCCTGGAGCGCCCGGCGGGGTGCGAGTCCGAACGTGGGGGGCGAGCCTCCAGCCTCGACGCAAGCGGGTGGCAGTGTGTGTCTTGTGCTGCTCGGGGTTCGAGCCGGAGGAGGTGCGGCTGGCGAGCACAGCCCACCCGGACCGGCACTTCCGCCACCCGTGGTGCATCCCAGGAGGCATCCCCAGGGGCAGTGTGCAGGGCCTGGCTGCTCTGCCTGAGCGTGCCCGCGGGCAGGTTCTGGCATGCGTCGCTCCGGCCCGGGCGCCCGACGCCGACGAGGGGGGGGAGGGTTCGCCTGCCCACGACGTCCCGCCGCGCCACACCGAGGCCGCCGAGGCAGGGGAGCTGCCTGGCCATTCCTGGTGGGCCCAGTTTGATTTGAACGCAGCGCTCCTCGAGCCGGTGCCGACGTGGACCGCCATCCCGACGAGCCTGGACACGGCCGTCGGCGACATCTTGGCGGCCGCGTGCCGTGCCGTGGCGGCCCGGCCAGGCGACGAGGGGGCTTGGGCGCAGCTCCTCATGCTCCCGCGGATGCTCTTCGCCATCCCGCCGCGCTCCGAGAGCAACGAAGACCGGAACTCCGCGACCAAGGTGGTGGCGAACCGCTTACGCAAGGCTTGGGCGGGGGATTGGGCGGCCTTGTGGGCCGAATCCGCGCGCCCAGGCGAGCCGGAGACGCGGGCGGCGCAGCCACAGCGCAGCATGGAAGCTCAGGCCCTCCGCGTGCATGAGCTCCTGATGCAGGGCGAGGTCAGCCGGGCTGCTGCGGCGGCAGCCGGGCCCAACAGGCTGGCCACAGGCGCCGGCGTGGCGGACCAGCTGGCGCAGCTGTTCCCGACGGCGCCCGCGCCTCGCGGCCCCCCGCCACACGTGGCCCCCACGACTTGGGAGGGAGAGGCGGCCACCAAGATCTCTGGAGCCCTGAACAAATTCCCGAGACACTCGGGGCCGGGCCTGACGGGCGCGCGGTTCGAGCACTGGGCGGCGATCCGCGGACGTCCGGATGGGCCAGAGGTCGTTGCACAAGTCTTGGAGCTGATCCTGCGCGGCCAGATGCCGGAGCGAGCGGCTCGGGCCATGCTGGGAGGCAGGCTCTTGCCTTTGCGCAAGCCGCCCGCGGGCATCCGCCCACTGGCGTGCGGCGAGACACTCAGGCGCATGGCAGGCAAGGCGGCCACCGACGCCCACAAGACTGCCATCGCCGCAGCGGTGGGGCCCCGGCAGTTTGGGGTGGGCAGGAAAAACGGCACTGAGGTCATGCAGCGGGTGGTCGCCGGCGCCGTGGAGAAGTCGCCGGACAGTGCCTTGCTCAAGCTGGACGTGTCGAACGCCTTCAACGAGGTCCACCGGGACATTGTGCTGCAGGCGGTGTCGACGAAGTTACCCGAGCTAGCCGGCCTGGCGGCCGCGTGGTACGGGGGCGCCACGACGCACGGAACCCACCTGCCAGAAGGGAGCGTCCAGCCGGTGCGGGCGGAGCGTGGCCTTGACCAAGGGTGCCCGTTGTCGCCGGCCTTCTTCGCCGTCGCCGTGGCGGACGTGTACCTCGCTCTCGAAGCGGCGGCCGCCGTCGACCCAGAAGCGCGCCTGCTGGCCTACCTGGACGACAGCTACCTCAAGGCTACGCCGGTGGCGCTGGAGGCAGCGTACGCCGCCGCCCCCGCCGCCTTCGGCCGAGTCGGCCTCAGGGTGAACGACGACAAAACGCAGGTCTGGAACCCTTGGGGCCTGCAGCTCCCGGCGTCCCTGGCTGGGAAGGTCGTGCCGCAGATGCAGTGCCTCGGGTCGCTCCTGCCGTTCGTGCGCGGCGGAGCGGCGGCAGAAGGGCTGAGCGCAGACCCAGCGAGGGTGAGCTTCCTGCCGACGGCGGCCCCCGCGGCAGCGACAGAGCACCTGACCGCCTACCTCGGGAAGCTGCGCGGCCTGCGGGCGCACGGGCTCGCGGCGCAGGACGAGGTGGTCCTCGTCCGGACTTTCGCGAACGGGGCGGCGCTTCACCACGCGCGGGCGCACCTCCTTGGCGAGGAATGGTGCCAGGACTACGACAACAAGGTGGTGGGGCACCTGGAGGGCTTGCTCGGGCGCCCTCTGCCGCCGGACGCGCGGGCGCAGCTCTTCCTTCCCCTGGCAGAGGGCGGGGTGGGTTTGCACAGCATGTCCCAACGCCGGCTCGCCGCCTTCGCTGGCTCGTGGCTCGGCTGCCTGGCAGACGTCCGGCGGGAGCTGGGCGAAGCCAGCTTGGGGGCGTTCGCCTCGAGCTGCCCGGCACTCTGGGGCGCGGCGGAGCGGGCGGGCAACGAGCTCCGGCTTGGCGCCGGCGAGTGGCACCGGGCCGCGGTGGAGCCGAAGCGCAAGGCGCAGAAGGCGCTCGCGCACCACGAACGAGACGAGAACCGGAGGCGGCTCCTGGCAGGGCTGCCGCCAGAGCAGGCTGCCCAGCTCCGCTCGGCCAGCGGGAAAGGCGCAGGCAGCTGGCTGCTCCCGCCGACGCAGGACGACCACCGCCTGGCGGACGAGCACTACCTGACGGCGCTGGCACTGCGCCTCCGCCTCCCAAGGCCTGCCGACGCCTGCGCCACCTGCCAGCGCCGCCGCGCCGACGGGCACCTCTGCGGAGCGGACCTTGCGCGGGCCCCGACTCACCCCCTGGGCTGCCATGCTGGGGCGGGCACGATAGCGCGCCACAACGCTATCCGCGATTGGCTCGCGCGCTGGCTGAAGGGGCGCGGGGCGAGGGGCGTGGGCACCGAGCAGCTCGTCCCCGCCTGGGACAGGGCCCGCCAGGACGGCAGCCTGGAGGCGGCGCGACTCGACGTGACCTACGTGGACCCGGTCGTCGGCACCGCGTACGTGGACGTCGTGGTGACCGACGCTGCAGCCGGGGCCGCGACGCCGGCGGGGCGGGGCCGGGCTTGGCGCAACGGGGCCGCGGCGGCCGCTGCGGAGGAGCGCAAGCACCGCCGCTACCCTGGCGCGGCGCTGTGCGCGTTCGCGCTGGAGACGCTGGGCCGGCCTGGGCGCGAGGCGCAGGACCTCCTGCGCACCTGGGCGGCGGGCGACGCGGCTGTGCTCTCGGCGGCGCGCCAGAGCATGGCCGCCGCGCTGCAGCGGGCCAACGCCGAGGCGTACAACGCCTCGGTGTGGCCACTGGGGCGGCGCGCCCGGCCGCGCCCCTTGAGGCGCTGAGCGCCGGGGCGGCCTGCTGCTGAGGCGCGCGCAGGGCGCGGCGCACGCGCCGCGCCCGGGCGCAGGGGCACCTGGAGCTGACGACGCCGGGCGCCCGGCGGGCGGCGGCGGCGCCTGCGGCGGGCGCGGCGCGCTGGGCAGCGGCGGCGGGCTGCGCGGGCGGCGCCGGCTGCGGGGGCGGCGCTGCAGCTGGGCGCGGCCGCCGGGCGGACGGAGCCGGCGCTCTGGCAGACGCGCGGCGGCGGCGGCGGCGGCTGCCCGGGGCGGGGCTGGAGGCGCGGCGGCACCGGCGGCAACCGCCGCGCGGCGGCGGCGGCCGCGGCGGCGCCCGGCGGCGCGGCGCGCGCCCCACGCCAGCGCGGCGGAAGCGGCGCGCCCGGCGGCGGGGGGTGGACGGCGCCGGCCGGGCCGCCGAGCTGCGGGCTGCCGCGGCGGGCTGCTGCGGCGCCGGGCTGCGCCGGGGCGCCGCTCGCTGACTGAGCTGGAGGAGCTGGACGACTAGCCGAGCGGGGTCCGGGCTTGCCCGCACCCCGCTCGGGAGGTGTCGGCGCGACGCTCCTGGAGCTCAGAGCGGGCGCAAGCGCGGGCGCGGCGGCAAAGGGACCCGCGCCGCGGCCTTCGCAGGAGGAGGAGGAGGAGGAGGAGGAGGAGGAGGAGGAGGAGGAGGAGGAGGAGGAGGAGGAGGAGGAGGAGGACAAATGGGCGGAGGAGGAGGAGGGAGGAGGAGGAGGAGAAGGAGGAGGGGGGGGAGGAGAAGAAGCAGGAGGAGAGAGGAGGAGGAGGAGGAGGAGGAGGAGGAGGAGGAGGAGGAGGAGGAAGAGGAGGAGGACGGGTCGCCTAAGCCCTTCGGAAAACCCTTCACCTGTACCATGGTCACGCAAGGACCCTCCTGTCGAAAGATCGCGGCCTCCTCAGGCCTGGACCCAGCGTAGAAAGCCCGGGTGTTGCTCGTTCACGGACGTCACGCACTCCTTGGCGGTGCCGTCCAGCACGACGACGTCCAGGCCAAGCAGGGGCATCGACGAAGTGCTGTTGATGCCAAGGCGAAGCCAGGACGAGGATAACATTGGGTAAAGCTATACGTATAACTCGAGAATCTCTGAGATCCTGGCGGATCTGGAAGATGCCTCGGGCGCCCCGCAGCCTTCTCAAAGCGCTCCGCAACGCTCTGAGAGTATCCCGGATCCCTCTGGAACGGATCCATCCTCGCCCTAGCCCCGTCCGAGATGTACCACTGGAGCCACGAGGGGAACTCGTCGCACCCTTTCGTCCCCTGCACGAGCACCACGACAACCGTCCGGGCAGCGTCTGAAGCATCGAGGCTCCCGATGCCCTCGCCTCCCGACCTGGTAAGGGAGACACAGCTCAGGGCGAGCAGCAAGCCTGCCTGTAAAAGAGGCGGCCCCCTCGACCAGCAGGGGGGACTGATCATTCGAGGTCGATCGCCTGGAATGGCTGCCCCTTATCGAACGGATATCCTACTGGATGCCTATCGGGTGCTTGCTCCAGGATGCCTTGAGCTTCAAATCGCTACGGACAGCAAGTGCAAATATGTTCAATATTACAGGGGCAGCCGTGCTCCCTGGATGTACATTACGAGTGCATTACGACGAATAACATGTAAATGCCACGCGACGGGTCACAATAACAAGCGTGAGATATCCAAGGCTACCTCCATTGCAACAGTCGTACAGTCTACCCGTATGCTAAGGACGCACGGTAAGGATGCCAGGACCTTGGAAGGCCATGTTGACACTTTGCGGGCGGGGCGCGGCCAGCAAAAGCGGCCAAGGATGGGCCGAAGGAAAATGATGCAAGGGTAACCTTGGAAGCGGCTCATCCTTACTGTGCGGGTTGACTCTAAGCGATTGGTTGTGCGTTCACTCACAGCTTTAGCAGCACTCTGGCATGCCACTGCAATCAGTTGAATGAATTCAGGGGGAAAGGGGGAACGATGGGACCCGCCTGCGCGTGGAGCAACGACGTATGACACGACGTGTGCGAGGGCAAACATATACCAAGACGGGCAGACAAGAGGAGCGGGAGGCCAAGAAGAGAGAATCCACAGAAGGACAAGCAGCTGGGAACGGCTGCGCGAGACGTCGCGATTTTTGTTCACAACGTCGACCCCCTGAGCTCTGGACCCCCTCTCGGGGACTGGATTGTCGTCCTGTGCATGTTCTTGACGGTCCTGTGGCCCTGTGAGGGCCCCCAGAGGCCCAAAATAGCGAAAAACCTCCCGTCCTGTTTCTTTTCGCAGCGCGAGGGGGCCCGGGGAGGCCGCGCGAACTCTCCGGCCGCTGAGCCCCGTGCCGTTGATCTGCTGTCTGAGCAGCCCGAGACCCAACGGGCTCGACGAGGCGGACACGTCACCTCGGGGAGGCTGCGTCTCGCTCGCCGCGGGCGGGGGCCCCACTTGCTGGCGCACGGTGGCCGATTAGCAACAAAAAGGTCCCAACCCTGTGGCCGGCGACCTACGTCAGGAGGCCCAAATCATTAGTGGGGGGATGGGCGCGGGGGTTGCTAAGGGGATAGGGGTGTCATCAGTGAATGCCAATGTGGGTTATACCTGGCCTGATCTAGTTCATTAGTGGGTTGCTAATGCCCCGAGTGGCTTTGGGGGGGATAGCGATCCAGGCTAAGTGGGCTCCGCCCACTAAGCGGAGTTGTCTAATCCGGCTAGGAACAGCCCCCCTGGCGTCCACTGATAACCCCCCTATCCCCTTAGCACCCCCCGCGCCCATCCCAGCAAAAGACCCCAACCCTGTGGGCGGCGACCCAAGTTAAGAGACCAAAAGTATTAGAGACTGGGGGCCTTCCCTGCATATGTATCAAACCAAGCCGGCCATATTTTAATATCCTGAATGCAAAGACAGGAGCCTCAGTGAGGCCACGTCTTCACTGTGTTATCAGGGTTAGGGTCTTTGATCCTCGATGAGTGGGAGAGGGCTCGAGGGGACGAGGTGGGCTGCGCCTCACGCCTGGGCAAGCCGCGGCCCTGAGGTGGGCGAACGAGGGCTCAGGGCGTCGCTGGCCGCGCGCCCCGAAGACTGTGCGACGCACAGGATCGAAGCACGTGCGACGCACGGGATCCCTGTGCGACGTCCAGGGCAGACGCGAACAGGAGACGGATGATGGCAGGCACAGAAGCGAATCACGAATAATGACGGGCCACACTCACGAGGAATCGCGGGCGAGTAGGAGCGCGAAGGCAATGTACGCTCGTGGAGTACACATAGCCGTACGAATGCCACCAAGACCAAGCATGTGGAAGGAGCGGTGCAATGAAGTTTCTGGCCGACTCGGTCCTCGACACTGGATGTAACGCGAACTCGGGCCCGTAACTGCAGCATGCCGCTGAGTGCTGTTTTGCTTTAGGCGTGCCCTGAATCGTCTTTCCGATTTCTTCAGGGCCGTGGGAGTCTTGCTGCACTCGCCATACGGCGGCCTCTGACTAATATTTGTCCAGCGGCAGACCTGAGCTGTCGAAATGTGTACTGTACGAAGAGAGAGAGAGAGAGAGAGAGAGAGAGAGCAGCTATCACTCCTACCTTCCCGCGGCAGCAATTACAAGTTGCACAACGGTCGGGAAGTTGTGGATAGCCTGTCGCGGCGGCAACCCCTGCGACACTTTATGTCCTGCGAACGAATGCGTATCGATCCGCTCCGCGGGGCGGGAGGCTCGGGAAAGCTCGGGAAGTTGACGCTCGAAACCGTGGAGTGGGTAGCGTGTCGCACCGAGGCGCGGTGGGCAAGAACTGGTTGAGCGAGACATCGCTATCCCACAATTCCCGACCGCATGCTCGCTGGACGGGCACGTGTCAAGTGACAGTGATGGCCCGGCAGAGCTTGCGGAGCCCAGTCGTTTTCCCGTCCCTGCTGGCCCCCGTGCGCGGCGCGGCGATGCCGCCGTGCTATGGTGTCGAAGTGTACGAGGGGCGGGGTGGGCGATGGTGTCCTCGCTGGCACGGGATAGCGCAAGGGTGTGTGTGTGTGTATGTGTGTGTTGCGACGTTGTCCCGGGTGAGTCGCGATTGGCGCGTGGACCCAACGTGCCATGATGGCAGGCCAGATGTCAATGAAACTGTGCCAACTCTGGCACGCATGAGCTTACCATGTGGCACAACTCCTTCCTTGTTATCGGCCTTCTGACCGTCTGCAAGGTAGGTGCGCGTGCACGACTGGGCGGATATCTGAGAATTTGCGCAGATGCACATACGTGTGAACACATTGATGTATGCTTGTATGCTGATGCGTGTGTGAGCGCGTGTCTCTGCGTGAATGTGAATGCGCATGTGTGCGCATGCATGCGTACTGGCTGGTTGCGAATGTATGTGCACGTCAGAACGAAAGAGAAAGCGGGCACTGGCATTCTGCAGTAAAGCTACACCCCACCTATAGGACGTTGAAAGGAACGAGACGTGGAAGGCAGAAAGAGGCGACCTCTCTGCATTTGCCTGCCCCCCTCCTTCCAGAAGCACGGGGGAGGGGGAAGGAAAGACAGACGGCAAAGGGCTGCGAGAAAGAAACGGGTGGAATGACCGGGGTGGAGGAAGGTGGAAGAGAGGGGGAGGAGGATCTAAGACTAAGCCAGGACGAAAATACAATCGGGTGAGGAAACTGTGAGATTTAGCGGATCTGGGGGATGTCTCGGGCGCCGCGGCCTCCTCAAAACGCTCCGGAACGCTCTCAGAGCGTTCCGGAACGCTCTGGAACGGATTTATCCTCGTCTTAGCCCGTCCGAGGGTACGAAGGGTGCAGTTCCGCTTTGGACGGTCTCCCCGGACCGTTGGAGGCGTAGGCCGCGCCTAGCGCGATATCCGGATCCTCCGCGGCCAAGGGAGCGGCTCATGCATCCGCCCTTCCCATCCGTACTGCCCGCTACCGTCCCTCCCTCACCCGCCACACCGCCCTCCAACAGGCCCCCTCCCCCTCGGACATCTCTCTTTCTATCTCACACCCTCCCTCCCTCTCTCTCTCTCTCTTTCTCTCCCCCGCCTTTTTGTACATATCTATCTATCTGTCTGTCTGTCTGTCTGTCTGTCTATCTATCCGCTCTCTCCCCTCCCACGGAATCTGGGAGATGTCGCGGACCCAGCCATACGCCCTTGCAGTCCTCATCTCGGGGCCCCGCTTCGACGCCGGGTGGTCTCCGGGTCTTAACACGAGCCTCTGGCGGCAGTTCGAGACGACTCGGGCTTCCACTCCTGGAAGCTCTCGACGAGACATAGCTGCCTGCGAAGCAGCTCGAGGCGAGAAAACCTCCGAACACCGACGAACACTCTCTCCCCCTTTGACGGCGACCCCCCCTCTCCGACGCCCCCCTGTTGTCCTCACCCCCCTCCCTGTCTGAGGGGGGGCGATAGGGAGGGACTGGCTCGGGGGGTGCAGCACTGACCTGGAATCAACGATACATCGCCCGCCGATGGATCGGCGATAGGCTCTGGGTACGGTGATGGAATTGGATAAGGAACCACTGGATAAGGAATCCGGGGTCTGGAAGCTGGTGGAACACCAATCGTGGATTGGCCATGGAAATCACTGCCGACCTCATCAGATAAGGAATCCTCCAAGGTCGAAAGCCCCCTGGGCACATTCCTCAACGAACGCCCCCACCGAAATTAGCGAAACCCAATTCCTAGGAGGGATGGCCTATCAGGCCCCTATGAGTGATGAACGAGTGATGGTGGGCCAATGCGTCCGCACCTGAGCCGATCCCCTGGTGATTTGGGGGTCATAGCTCGGGCCTCCAGGAGCCGTCCGGGACGATCCGGGTACCCCCAGAACGCTCTCGGCGAGGCGCAATCGCTGCGAGGCATCCCGAGGCCGGAAAGCAGCCGAGAGCCCACCAGAAAGTCGGAAAACCTCGAACCCTTCGTCGCCCCCTATGGGGAATCCAAAAGGTACCGATACCGCGACTCCCCAGACCTCTCCTGGGGTGCGTTCTGACCAGGATTTCGAAGCGAATCCAGCGGTGGCGACGACGGATGCCCAGGAGGCCCAAAAAAGCGAAAACGAGGGGAGGGGAGAGGTATGGGTGCCCTTTCCTCCTCTGGCCCTGGGCCTGTGCCCCCCCAAACGTTGCCCCCTCTGCTCGCCCCCGACAGCTCGGGACAGGCTAACGGCCGACGGACCTCTCGTGGCCGACCAGCCCGCGTCAAGAGTTAGGTCGGGCGTGTCCTCCTACAGGCGGATTTTGGACCAAGAATCAAAAATAGTCAAACATGCTCAAACAACATATTGAACATCAAACGAAAATCGTCGCCTGACTATTGTTTGACTATGTTGGACTATTCTTCCTGTACAGAGAAATGCCCGACTCAAGTCAAGAGGCGCGCGCCGTGCCGGCAGACGGCACGCCTCGCCGACAGACCCTGCGCGCAGCCCTCCCTGGGCGCGCCCGCAGTGGATACGGAGGAGGAGGAGGAGGAGGAGGCCAGCAGCAAGTGTTGCATTGCCTCAAGCCGACGGCGGCCCGCGCGGCGCTCGCCCAGAGCCCCCCGCCAAGACTGCAGTGCTGCCGGGGGGCCTGGTCGAACGAAAATTCCTACCTGGAAAGAGAGCAAACTGCAAAACTCAGGGGAGACATCCTTCTGGGCACTCTCTGGAGGCATGCCCGGAACGAGGTGCCAGCTGGTGGTAGTGGTACTTTTGTCTCTACCAGAAACTTTCGGAGCGCCGCGCGGATGTCTTTGCTCTACGCTGGGGCCTCCCTGGCGACGCCTCAGGCCCAGCCCCTGCGCACTCTAGCGCCAGTCCGAGAAATCCGCGCGGATTTCCGATAACGTATGTCGCCAGACCCCCGACGTCGTGACTTTTCAAAGCGTCGACCCCAGAAGGCCTGGACCCCTTCTCTGACACCGGCTTTTCATCCTGAGTCGTTTTATGACGGTCCCGGGGCCCGGAGGGGGCCCCTGGCAGCCGAAAATGATGAAAATAATAATAAAAAAACGCGAGGGGGTCTGGGTCGATGTCTTTCTTACATCCTCGGCCACTCCCTCTCGCAAGCACGGCGGGGGGGTTTTGGTAATTTTCGGCCTTTTGGGTGCCCTCGCTGGGCCCTGGGCCCGTGGAACAGAAAACTGCCCCGGGCGAGGAATCAGCCCCCGCGGAGAAGGGCCCAGACCTCCGGGGATCAGATTCGCAAGCCCTAAACAGAAAAAACACGACGTCGCAGTCCTGGGCCTGCTGGCGTGCGAGGGAATGGGGGAAGGGCTTCTCAGAAGGAGCCTGCTTCCTAGAAGGCACCGGCCTTGCATCTATAGATGAGGGCCCGCGCATTCCAAGAATCAGCCTTCTTCTGGGAAGCCTTGCCTCCTCCGCCTACCTTTGCGAACGCCATGGCATGGGACACTCTGACAGTCTCACCATTGAAAGTAACACGATTTCCGACGCTTGAATCAATGTTGAACTTAGATGGAACATTCCTGTGCATGCTCAAAACATGCTCTGAACAATGTCCAGGCATTTGGCAACTATTTGTCAACACGCCTCCACTCCATTCATCGTCTTTCACAACTGGAAGAACGACAAACGCAATAAACATGAACTGCTGCAGGTCCGCGAGGATTTCTCGGATCCGCGCTGGACCCCCCTCCCTGCCTCACGGAGTGCACTAGGGTCGGCGCTGGAGGCGCCGCTGGAGAGGCCCAGCCCAGCGCAGATCCAAGAACTCTGCGCGGAACGCAGGGAGAGTGTGCTTATGGCGTTTTCTCTTCTTTGAGATGTAAGGCCCGCGCCTGCTAAGAAACAGGGGTGCTTCTAAGAAGCCTTCTCTCCCCTTTCCTATACTGGGCGGCGCGCAGAGGGGGGCAGGGGGAGTGGGGAAGGGTTCTGAGGAGGAGGCTGCTTCTCAGAAGGCGCTGTCATCACATTTATAGATAAAAGTATCCCAGTGTGACCCTACCTAGGAGTTGGAGCATTTAGGGAAGCAACATCTACATCTACACCGACAGCTACATGAACATCTACACCTGCATCTACATCTACATCAACAACAACAGCGAGACTCACATCTACATCTACATATACACCTACATCTACACCTACACCTACATCTCCATCTACATTTACACCTACACCTACATCTACATCTACACTTTCGCATTGGTGTTGCTTGTGAGTTGCCTTGTCTTTGCTGTTGCTATTGCCTTTGCCTTTGCTTTTGCTTTTGGTTTTGCTGTTGCTGTTGCTTGTGTGTTGCTTTTGGTGTTGCTGTTACTTGATGTTGTGTTTGCTTTGTCTGCGCTGAGGTAAACTAAGCTAAGCTAAGCTAAGCTAGGCTAGGCTAGGCTAGGGCTAGGGCTAGGCTAAGCTAAGCTAAGATAAGCCAAGCCAAGCCAAGCCAAGCTAGGCTAAGCTGACCCAAGCTAAGAGGAGCTAAGCTAAGCCCAGCTAAGCTGAGCTGAACTAAGCTAGGCTAAGCTAGGCTAGGCTAGGCAAAGCTAAGCTAAGCTAAGATGGGATAAACTAAGCTAAGCTGAGCTAAGCGAAACTAAGCTAAGCTAAGCTTAGTGAAGCTAAACTGGGTGAACCCAGCGGGCGCAACTGGGGGAACCGCGGGGCGGATGCTGGGGGAACCGCCCGGGGCGGTGTGCACTGCCCGGCCCCTTTAAGAAAGAGAGTAAGAACCCTTCTAGGCAGAGCCTAGGTAGGGAATAAGCCTGCGCCTGCAAAAAGGAACAGGGGCGCTTCTTAGAAGCCTTTTTTTGTTTCTCTCTCTCTCTCTCTCCCTCTCATACCCCCATCATTAACCCCCTTCTGGAGCTCGGGAAGTTTATGTTTATAGCGTTTGTGCTTCTCCGAACTAATTACACTACCCCTCCTCCTCCTCCTCTTCTTCCTCCTCCTCCTCCTCCTCCTCCTCCTCCTTCTCTTCCTACCGTAGCCCCAGCGGGGGGGTCGCGAATCGGCTGGCGCGGCGGGCTCTCCAAGGCGCCTCCCTGCGCCGGACAGGCGCCCTTGTGCCGAGGAGGGCGGCGGGGCCCCACCTGGCTGCATGCAGCACGACCACGACGACGAGGCCCCAACGGGCCGCGTGCATGCTGCCGCACCGACGGCTGGCGATTGGGGAAAGTGACAAGTAGAAGGCCTTCTCAGAGGTGGTTTGGCCTCCTGACAAGTGTTTGTTCTGTGTCTTCGGAGGAGAGGCAACTTCTCAGAAGACCCGGGGGGGCTTCTGAGAAGGCCCGCGCCTTCTGGGAAGGCCCGCTCTTTCTCGCTTCCCCCCCACCCGGGCTTGCCGCCGACCTTTCCCACCCCCAGACCAGGGAGAGGGACGCTTGGCACAGGAACAACCCCAGTCTTCTGCCCATCCGCTTCCCTCCATCCACGGCCCCTGGAGCTCCCGACCCCTTCCCCAGCCTTTCGTCCTGGATCCATGCTGGACTGCCGTCGAGGGGGAGGCGGGTCGGGAATAGGGGGAGGGGCAGAGGTGGATGCGTCGAAGATGGGGAAAAGAAGCTGAAGGAAGAGGGAAAGGAGGAGTCGTTACATGTGTGTTTTGTTTCCTGCTCTGCCGTCTCGCCCCGGCCACGTTCACGTGTCTGATTTGTTCATGCGCCTCCCTCCGTGTTCTCCCCCTTGTCATCCATTTCGTACTTTGCTCCCTATTCCTCCAGCGTCCCCTTTCTCCTTGTCCTCTTCAATATCTTCATCATCCTTTCGCGGTCGTCGTCTTCATGTTTGAACGTTCTGCTCGTCGGGGGCGCCAACATCGTTCTCGTCTCCTCGATGTATCTGGTCATGGTTGCTGTCGCTTGTGTCGTTTCAACTGTTCTGATTAGCAATCATCGCGATGTTCGTTTACGTTCTCGCTCTCCACCCTGACGTGGCCACGGTGATGCGCGGTGCGTATCCCAGTCCTCCTCGCCGCTTCCGCCCCACACGCTATCGTCGGCGTCGTCCACATCCCTCGTTGTCTGTGTCGTCGTCCTGCTCGTCGTGCTCGTCGTCGCTCTGGCCCATGTCCTCTGGATCCGAGGACGGACCCCAGAGGCCAGAATCTAGAGAAAAAAAAGCAAGGGGTGCAGATACAACGAGAACCATCACGCAAGAGATCTGGAGACCTCCGCGGCGTCCAGGGCGCCCGGTGGTCGCTGGCCCCGGCCTTGGAGGCGGCCGAGGCAGGCGGCGGCCGCGGGCCGCGGCGGGCGGCGTGCGGAGGGAGGTCCTCCACGGTGTTGGGGAGCAGCTGCGAGTTGGCGGAGGAGCTCCTGGCCCCGCCCCACACCCCGACATGTCATGCGGACGGCTTCGGCAAGCCTGAACCCACAAAACGTCTTCATCTCTTTGGGGCACATCTGGTATTTCCGCCTCCTTCCGCCGAGTTTCCGCTGGCTTCCGCCGGCTACCGCTGGCTGAGGCGGCCTCGTTTTTCTTCAGCCGACCTTCCGCCGCCCTTCCGCCGCTTTCCGCGGCGGAAGAGATCACAACTCCTTTGATCCTGAAACGCCCCATGTAAAAATAACGGCGGAAGGTGCGTCACTATCTTGTCGTCGCTCGGACATCCGTTCCCCGTGTATGTGTTCGATTTCGCGCGTGTGTTTTTGATGCCCGATGGTGCACGATGCTCCTTGGTGGTCCTCGCCGAACAAAACCGCACACGACCGAGTGATACCAAGCTATGTTCAGCCTCTCGGGGCCATGACCGCGCCTGGGGACCGAAAAAACAGGTCGGGATGAAACACCGGTCCTGGGAAAGGGTCGAGACCTCCAGAGGTTGACGTTATGAGCAACTCGTGACGTTATGGACAAATCAAGCCGCGCCATCGCGCGCCCGCGCAAACTGATCGAACTGTCCCCTCGTGTCGGCAACCAAATGTGAGCTCTTTCCCTGCAGCCCGAATTTCTGAAACTCCGGCTGCGGTTCACAATTCGATGCGTGCGCAGCCGGATGAATCCCAGCGGGGGTATCTGGGTGTCTGGTGCCCCACAACGGCCCCAGAGGGCCCCCCAAGAAGTAGATCCGAATCAAATTGTGGAACATCTTCCACGACAAACTATCGGGCACCGCTTCCCCTCCATCTCCCCGTCAATTGCATGGGGACAGCACTGGCTCTCCGTATGCATCATCTATGGACCATACCAGTGCTGGTCGGTCCGGTCATGGGTCAAGAATCGACGGACATGCAGTGCTGGCTTGGCCAGGAAGGCGCGTGCGCCGATGTTGGACCCCAAACGGACCAAGCAGAGTCCTCCAGCATACATACACAATATTCCTTGGTGCGCTATGCGCAGCGCTGGCGTCAGAAAGGCATTGAGGCAGTGGCCGCAAGAGGAAGGCACGCCGAGCTGGCCAGGTGCAGAAAGGAGAACGGCATACACTTTTCATCCCCGGGCCAAATGACGTCACTGCAGCAAGAGCGAAGGCGGGCCAAGCTTAGCGTCAATTCCACATGACATGGCATTTGTGAACTTCGCAAGACTGCGATGGAGGCCCGCCTGACAGCGCAGACGGTGCACGCACAAGCATATATCCGCCACCGGGCCGATGTGGCACGAAGTTGAGTGTCCCCAGAACCTGCGCCTGCAAGCTTTTCTAGAATTTCTACAAGGCCCATTGCTCAGCCCGAAATAACAAGGCAATGCTCCGCTAGCCCGCCTCAAACCAAAGAAATTTAACTGCCGGGCCCCAAGTAGCGGATCGCCTCTCCACTATCTGGCCTCGAGCATAGGGAATCGAATCGCCTGTCTCCCATGAGTGGATCGGCATTCCGCTGATTGGCCCCGAACCAGGGGATTCGGAGCGCCTCTCTCCTATTAGCGGAGCGGCGCTTCGCTCATTGGCCCCGAACCACACGTATTTCACTGCTTCGCTTCTCCCACTAGCAGAGCGCGCTCCACTAATGGGCAAAGACTCCCCAATCCCCTCGTCCGCTCACGGCCCCACGACATCCCCACGAATATCCAGGATGCGTCGGACCCACAACCCAAGCACGGTGGCAGGATGTGGCGAAGGCGACTGTATTTGTATAATATACATATGTATATATATATATATACACAAGACTGCAGTGGCGCTTCGCGCCATGCGCCTTGGCCCTTGAAGTTTGGTATGCAGGCGGAATGGCAGGAAGGTCAAGCCGACAAGTTAGCGATAACTCCTTGTTGCCTTTTCCAGCATCGCCGCTAAAATGATGTCATTCGTTATCCTTCCTCCATGTTTCTTTTTCCTCGTTCTCGCAATACCCTGCGCATTTTCCCCATCCTCCTCAGCTCTTTTTGCGGAGGCTCCTCCATGGAGAGCCTCTGGGGGCCTCACAATAGTGGCCTCCTGGGCGTGTGTTCTGGAGGTTATGGGGGCTTCCTCGGGCCACCCTGCCTCCAACCGCGGTCTCCCTGAACGACCGGGTCACGATTTGGAATGCTTCGGAAAGTGTCTTGGGGCCGACTTGGGCCGCCATGGGGCACTCTTAGGGCCATCTTTGACCCCTGTTGTGCCGTTTTGGGGCTCTCTTGGACTGCCTGGAAGCCCTTTTGGATGGTTGTGGGGCGATTTTGGAGCCTCCCAGGCGGCTTCGGACGCCCAGAAGACCGCCGTATTGGAGCGTCGGGAAGTCGAAAAAAGGAGAACCCCAAAATTCACCAGAAACCCACAGCAAAATCAATGATTATTGCCTCTTGGGGCCTTCTTGGGAGTGCTCTTGGAGGCTTTTTGACGCCTTTGGGGCCGTCCTGGAAGCCTCTTGGGCCATCTTGAGGTCACGGAGCTCTGGTGCTGTCTGGGGGGTCTCTGGGACGTCTCGGATGACCCCGCTGATCGCCCTAGGTGTGCTGGGAAGGCTTGGCAAAACGCCTTGCGAGGCCCGGGGGTCCGCTTCGAGGCCCGTCCGGAGGGTCCCAAAGCCCCAGATCCCGGGAGTCCGTTTTTTTGGGGGGGGAGAGATTTCCCCCCGCCCGGGCTTATACAAATATAGGAAGAGGAATATGTATATAGATCGGGCATATGGGTACTAACGCAAAAAAACACGCACAAACAAACACACACACACACACACACGCGCGCGCAAAGGGTTCAGCGAGAGACCTCCTGGCCTGGCCGCCACCCCTGACGGGCGCCATGCCTCCTCCTTCATCGACCCTGTTGGGTCGCGCGCCCCCCTTCGGTGGCAGCTCATGGGAGCCTTCCATACCATCTTGTTTGCTGTTGCGACTCGGCGGGAATCGACGCTAACCGACGCTAGTTGAAGCTAGATCGACACAACCTCATCGACTGCCAAACTTCAACCGACGCAAGTGCATCTTAAAGGCGGAATTGCAAGGATACGCACGGCCCCATTGGTTTGCAACCGCATCCCCTTCCTGCACCGGGAGAGACGGCTCTGCGGGAGGCCCCCCCGCACGTCGAGCCTACATCGATGACGACGAGTGGCCGGCTCGAAGACAACGAGCCGAGCCGATGTGGCTCGACAAATCACTGCGAGCTGGTCTCGGGGGTCGCTCTAGACACCACGAGGTTCCCCCGACGAAGACAAGGGTTTCGCACGTACGCGGTCGCCGCCGCCGTGGCCTCCTGGTGTCCCCTGCACAAGCGAGTGTTGCCATTCACGGCGATGGAACTCATGCGCGCGAATGGCACACCCGACCTCCAGCGTCGCCCCAGAACAACAACGGGATGAAAACATGACTAAGCGCGGGACCTTCAGCAGCATCAGTGTCCCCGACGGCACTTCTGCACGAAAGCGGGGATCTGCACGAGCGGGACTTCTGTGCGCGAAAGGGGCCAACATGTGATGCCACGAGTGACAAACTCCGAGCCGCGATGCAAACTTGCCGGGCCGCAGGGCAACATGAAAGAAAAACGGGTCCTGAGGGAAACGGGCCCAAAAGACATGGATCTGGACCCTGAGGGCTCTCCCACGGGACCAGCCTTGCGTCCCGAATCGTGGCTTGACGGTCCCAAAGCCCATGCAGGGCCCCCAGAGCCCAAAACCGGCGAAACAGAATCCAGGACCCCAGGAGGCGGGGGAGGCGGAGGAGGGGGGGGGGGAGGAGGAGGAGGAGGAGGAGGAGGAGGAGGAGGAGGAGGAGGAGGAGGAGGAGGAGGAGGAGGAGGAGGAGGAGGAGGCGGGAGGAGGGAGGGAGGCGTTGACGGCTTGCGAAAGAGAGACCGACCAGGACTCCAGAGGCTCCCCCGCAAGTGTGACCCCTCCCCCGTCGGCCTCTCGGAGATGCGCCCGCCGCGCAGCCTGGAGACTCGCCCTGTTTGACTTGCCTTGGCTGCAGCTGCGTCCTCTTCTGGGCTGGATGGGGGGGAACATCGGAAAAGAGCTAAACAACCTGCACACACATAATGTTTGTCAGTGCCCGCGCGGATGTCTTGGATCCGCGCTGGACGCCCCTCCCTGGCGCGCGAAGCGCGCTGGGAGTGGTGCAGGAGGCGCCACCAGGGGAGGGGGGCCGAGCGTCGATCCAAGAGATCTGCGCAGAACTCGAGGAGAACATTTCTGTTTATGCAGCTTGCTCTTCTTCTAAGAGAAAACGAAAACATCCTACGACGCCCTGGAGTATGTGGCAAAGGGCAAGTAGGATGGGGAGGAGGGGGAGGGGGAGAAAGCGGTGCCAGGAGACACGACTGCGGGCGCATCGTGAAGGAGCCGCTGCGCGCGCAGCACAGGCCACCGACGTCGAGCCCTGTGCGCGAAAGCTCTGCGGGGACCCCTGCTTCGGGAATACGCCTGCTCATCCTCAAACTCCCCATCCTCCCCTCTTCCACTCCCCCCCCTCTCACCTTCCCTCCTGTTTCTTAGGTACAAGTCTTCGATGCTCGTTCTGGGGGCCTTCCTAGAGTCACTCGCTCCAGTCATGCGTCAAAGCTGCGTCGAACGTCCATCAACTTGAATCGACCTTCAGGCGACCTTGAGGCGTCGAAGGGCTCGAACTCGAGTCGAACCGATCGATCAGGTGGCCCCCAGGAAGGTCCCCCAAACAACATCAAACTAACCCTTCCCCCCTCGGCCCCAGCTCCCCCTCCCCACCTCCATCGCCCTCTTATTCTCGTCTCTGACCCCCTCCTCTCACCTCACCACGCCCGAACACGCCCGAAACTGGGACTTGGAGCGCCGAAAAAGAGAGCAGCCAGGAGGCGCGACTGCAGAACCGCCTCCGCACCCCCACGACGCAACTCTGGGAGGCATCGGCTTCTGTCCAGCAACGGTGGGCAGGCGAGCGGCTGCTACACCTCGCTGGGCCACTCGGGGCTGCCCAGCGGGGC